TATTATGAAATATTAAAAGAAATATATAAACATTTTTAAGAATATTTTGAAAAAGGTAAATAAATTTTATTATATTATATAGAGAGATTAATCTTTTTAAATATTATTATAATAGATTATATTATCCATTTTTTTTTTTTTAATAATTAATTAAAAAAAAAAACTTAAAAAATTAAAACTATTAATTATATTATTAGTTAAAATTTTTTAATTTAAAAGGTTTTATTAACAATATAAAGGAAATATCTAAAATAAAGTTAAAATTTTAAAATGGAAAAAGAAATAAATATATTATATAATATTTATTATATATTTTATTAAAACTTTAGTGATAATTAATAATTTAAAATAATTGGGTAAAAAAATAAAGAAAAAAATTTTAAAATGTTATACGATTTTATTATAATTATTATTTTAAAAAAATTAAAATAGTTTATTTATAATTTTATTATTAACTTATTAATTTTAAATTAAATATAGGAATTTATTGTAAAAATTTATATTAAATTTATTAAATTATTAATAAATTAAAATAATTAAATATTATTATATTAAATAAAGTAAAAATATTTTTAATAATAAAATAAATTAGGATTTATTATTTTAATTGGTATAATTTATTAAAAAAATTTTTTTAAAAAGGTAAATTTATTTTGGATAATTTTAAGCTAAAATTATTTAATTAATTAATAATAAAAATATAAATATAATAAAACCTTTTAATTAAATTATTAAGTAATAAATTTAAAAATTTTAATTATGATTATTTAAATATTTTAATTAAATAAAGATAAAAAAAAATTAATTTTGTATAATTAATAATTATAATAAAAGATATTTATTTAATTTATTTTAGTATATTTATTATTAATGCTATTATAAAGGTAGTATTAATAAATACTTATATTATATTTAAAATTAAAAAATAAGTAAAAATTTTAATTTAATCTAATATTGGAAATATTTTAAAAAAAAGTTTTATAAATTAATATAAAAATTTTAATATATTAGTTTTGGTAAAGTAAAGAAAGAAATTTTTTTTTTTTAGTTAATATAATATTTATTATATTAAATTTTAATTTTGTAAAAAGTAAATTATTAAAAATATAATAATTAATAATTTAAAATATTTAAATATTTTTTAATATATATAGTTATAAAAATTATAAATAGTTAATAAATTAATTTATAAAATAAAAATTATAATTATTATAATTTATTATAAAAATAAATTTATTATTAAATTAAATTTTATTAATTTTATTATTATTTTTTAATATTAACTAATTTAATTAGTATTAATTAATTTTAAAAAAATAGAATTATATTTGATAATATATTTGATATATTTTATTAAAAGATTATAATAATAAAAAAATAGTTATAATTAAATGGTTTTATTAATTATAATATTTAAATTAGTTAAAATATTTAATAAAATTATTTATTAAATTTAATATATATAATTATTAATATAATTTAATATATAAATGTTTTATATATATTAATTTTAAAAAGGTTAAATTAATTTATAAAGGTATAATATTAAATTAAAAATATTTTAGATTTTAAATTTTATAAAATTTATATTTAATTAAAAATAAAAAGGTTTATTAAATAATAATTATTTATTTCGGTTTTAAAATTATTATAAATTATATATATTAATTTTTAATATATAATAAGAAAAGTTTAATAAATTTAAATATTTTTATATTTTTATAAATAATTATTTAAGATATTATTAAATTAAATTTAATTAAAATAAATTATTAATAATTAATTAATTTATTAAATTTATTAATAAGGTTAAATATAAATAGATTTAAGAGTTTAAAATTATATTTTAATAATAGTAGAAAATTTTTGGTAAAAAAGGTGTAGTTAAGAAAAAATATATAAATAAAGAATTTAATTGGAAATTATAATATTTTATTTTGGAATAAAATGGTTAAAATAAGAAAATTAATAATATTATTATTATATTTATAAGATTAATAATAATTAATTTAAATTTACCTATTTTATTATAATTAATATTAAAGAAATAATTATATATAATTAATTTATTATTAATTAAATTTAATATAAGAAATAAATTATTTTATAATTATTTTTATAATTATTTAAACTTTTATAAAAAAATAAAAAAAATTATCTTTTATATTTACATATTTTAACATTATTATTTAGATTAAACGTATAAATATTTTAATAGTTTAAAAAGAGATAATTAAAATTAAAAAAAGTTATATAGTAAGATATATTAATAAATAAACGAAAATATATAAAATTTAAATATTAAAATAATATTATATTATTTATGTATAAAATGTTAAATTTAACGAAAAAATATATTTAAATAATTTAAAAAAAGAAAAAATTAATAAAAATTATATTTATTAATTTTAATTATAAAGAAATTAGTAAATTTAAAGTTTTAATTAAAATATTTTTAAATAATTATTAAATTTAAATAGTTAAAAATTAAATAATTAAAGATATTTTAAAAAAATCTTAAAAATAAAAGGATAAGATATTTTTTATTAAAGATATTGTTATTTTAAATAGATTTTGTAATAAACGTTAATATTATAATTATTTTAAAAATATTAAAGGTAGTTAAATTTTAAGATCTTTTGTTTAAGTTATTTTTAGGTGTTTTTTTGAAAATTTTAAAAGAAAAAGAATTAATAATATATTTTAAATAATTATAAAATAATCTTTTATATATATTATTATAAAAAATAAATTAATAAAGGTAATAATATTAAAAATATATAAAAAGATTAATTTAATATTAAATTAAAAATTACGGATAATATAAGTATATTAAAAGTAAATATGGTTAATTAAGTAATAATAATAATAATGAATTTAAATTTAATTTAAGAGTATAATTATATGTTAAAATTAAGGTAATTATTAAAAAAATAATAATAGTTTTTTAATGCCTTAAAGGATAGGATTAATACTTAAAAAAAAGAAGAAAGAATAAAAAAATTAATTAAAGTAAGATATTTAAAAATAAAATGGAAAGAAGGGGAGGGAGGGGAGGAAAAAAAAGGAGAGGAAAGAGGGGAGAGGGAAGAAGGAAGAAAGGGAAGAAGAGAGGAGAAAAAGGGAGAGGGGAAGGAAGAAGAAAAAAAAGGAGAGAGGAGGGGAGGGAAGGAAGGAAGAGAGGAAAAGAAGGGAAGGAGAAAAGGAAGAAAAAAGGGGGGAAGGGGGAAGGGAAAAGAGGAAAGAGGAGAGGAGGGAAGAGGAAAAAGGGGGAAAAAAGGAAGAAGAAGAAGAAGGAAAAAGAGGAAAAAAGGGGGAAAGAAGAGGAAAGGGGGAAGAGAGAAGGAAGAAAGAAAAAAGAAAAGGATGGAAGAGGGGAGAAGCGTGGGAGAGAGAGAAAAAGGGGGGAGAGGAAAAGGAGGGGGCAAAAGGAGGAGAGAGGACCAAGGGAACGGGAGGGGGGAAAAAGGGGGGGGAAAAGGAAAGGGGAAGGAAGGAGGGAGGGAAGGAAAAAGGGGGGGGAAGGAAAGAAGAGGGGAAGGAAAGAACCGGAGAAGGGGAAGAGGGGAAAAGGAAAAAGGAAAAAAGGGGGGGAGGAAGGGGAGAAGGGAAAAGGAGGGGGAAGAGAGGGAAGGAAGGGAACGAAAAAGAAGAGAAGAAGGGGGGGGAGGAGGAGAAGGAAAAAGAGAAAGGGGGAGAAGAGAGGAGGAAAGGGAGGAAGGAGGAAAGAGAAAAGAGGGAAGAGAAGGGGGGGGGAAGAAAAGAAAGAAAAAGGAGGGAAAAAGGGGAGGGGGAAAGAAAGAAAGGAGGGAAGGAAGGGGGAGGAGGAGGGCGCGGGGGGGGGAGGAGAAGAAGAAGGGAAGGCAGGAAAAAAACGAGGAGGAGGGGGGGGAAAGGAGGACCGGAAGGGGAAAGAGAGAAGGAGAGGCGGAAAGGAAAGGAAAGGGCAGGAGGAGGAGGAGGACGGAAAGGAAGAGGGACGGGAAGAGAGGAGAGGAGCGGAGAGGGGGAAGGGAAGAGGAAAGGAAGCGGGGGAGAGAGGGGGAAGAGGAGGACCGGGAGGAAGAGGGGGGGGGAGAAGAGAGGAGGAGAAAAGAGAAGGGAGGGAGAAGGAGGGAAAAGAGAGGAGGAAAGGGGGGGGGGAAAGGGGCAAAAAAAACACCGAAAAAGAAGGAAACAAAAGAGCGGAAAAGGGAACGACCGGGAAGAGGGGGAAAAGAAGGAAGAAGAGAAAGGGGAGAAAAAGACGAGGGAAAAGAACAAGAGCGGGGAAGAAAAAAGAGCGGGACCGGGGAGGGGGAAGAGGGGGGGAAAAAGAGGGGAAGGAGGGAAGGGGGAACGAGGGAAAGGGGAAGAAGGAGGGGAAAAAG